ATAAGGACATTGGCACTAGAGTGTTTATTGCAGCTCAATTTATAATCACCAAAATGTAGAAAAGACATTTTTAATGGCTTTACCTATAGAGACCCATCAACTCAAGTTGTGGGTCTCTCTGTTTTACAAACCTCTCCAAGATGCTTTGTGAAATCAACCACAGTGTCTTTGTTCAGACAAAGAAATCAATGCCGTTGTAGCACTGGAGAGCTAGAACAGGTTTTAAAATTTGAACTCCACAAAATTATTCTTTAAACCTTTGCAGAAAACACTGATCTCAGAAGCTAAGCAGGATTGGGCCTGGTTAGTACTTGAATGGGAGAAAACAAATTCGTTTATTTAAAACTTGTCTCAAAGCATTCTTTCTCAATACCCTTGTTTTATTAGAAGAATTAGAATTATTAAGGTGGTTAGGAAAATTGGCTTTCCACAAACACACCCTGAGGATTTGAGAGGATAACCATTCTAACATCCCTGTTCATGTTTATTCATCGTTTATGATAATTTTGTAGAGTGAATATTCAACAGCACAAAAATATTCTTTATTATGTCAAAACCATAATCCCTGGTGGTTTTACACACTAAGAAAGGATCAACTTCTCTTGATAAAAATCTGAACCCCTGCTCCTTGTTACAGGTTCAGTTTCCTCTCTGGGGCTCTAGAATTCTCAGGAAAAGAAGACATTTAAACCTTTTCTTGAATGACGTGATAAGAAGCTGCATTTCTATTGCCTTCCCTATCTCCATTGACCCAAAGGAAAAGTAGAGTCTCAGACTCATGCACCAAAAGCACATTTAAGGATCTGACCTCCAGAATACTCAAGTGGAAAATGTATCTGATGTTATCCAAGGGGGGCCTTTAGAATTCCTCTCCCCAATAGCCCAACAGAGGAGGAAACAAAGGGAACTGGGTTAATTATGTAGCAAAGAAGGTGGAAAGAATGATTTAAAAACCTATAGAAAAAAGTAAGGGACTCTGAACAGGTATTTAGTTCCCCAGGGAAGTGACTTAAAACAGTCATGCATTTGTCCATCCATTCACTAAACTCTCAGCCTGCCTGTAGAGTCCTGGTCTGAGATTACAGTGTCACATGTGCCTAAGAGCTGCTGGCAGCATCCCACAGTTAGGAATGAGTACTGGCACCTGGGAAGAAGGGGCCTTATGAGCTGGGATTTGCAACAGGGAAAGAGCTCATTGGGTGAAGAAGTGAGGGAATGTGGTTTGCATGGGAGGAATGTTACCTGCAAAGGCACCAGCACCTGGAATAGGTGTTTCACCAGCAAGAAGACCAGTAGCCCAGAAGGGAGAGGAATGTGGGCTCTGAAGTGCATCCTACCACCATCCCACACTTATGAACTGTGAGGACATCAGGTAAAACACTAAACTCAGCAGTCTACAATTCTACCTGCACCTTGTCATCACCCCCAGCAAATTAAAAAATAAAAGGCAATGGTTGGGTCCCACTCCAAATAGCTTACATCAGAATCTCTAGGTGTGAGGTCCAGGCATCTGTACATGTAAAAGCATCCCAAGTGATTCCAATGTGTTAAGTCCCAAGACTCTCTATAAAAGGGGTAGATAAAAGAACCTTGCCAGCTCCATGGGTTGTCATAAGGATTATGTGAAATAAAATATACAGAGTGCTTAGCATGTATTAATAAAGGTGATGATTGTGTGGGAGGAGTCAAAGATAGGAGAGACTGGAAGGTAGCCCAGAACCAGATGATTGTCACAGCCAAAGCTCACGGTGCATCCTCTGCACACAGGCACTGAGCTGAGCTATTCACATGTATTAACTGAGCATTCTGGCTCCAATGATCAGGCTTTTTAGCTACATCTCTGTACAATGAGGGGAAGAAAGTCCTTAATGCATATATATATATTAAGGCTTTAGGGCTTATTGTGTGGACGTCAGACATGATCAGAACATGATGAGATCAGATTTGTGTTATATAAAGTTATTTTGACTTTAGTGTAGATAAACAGATGGGAAGGGGAAGAGCTAGAGGTAGGGAAATAACTCTACTCCCCAAATATAAGCCAGACACTGAACAGGTCTAGAGGAGGAGAAAATCAGATCTTGGAAACTCAGAGCCCAAAAGAACAAACAAAAGCATAATGGGCTGGTAGATTTTCTCATACTAGACTTTGTAAGACATAAAAGTGTTCTGATGGACAAATAGGTTCTGTTTCTACCTCAACCACCTCTTACATTGTGCATCTTCAGGCCTCAACATGAATATCATTTGAAACATTTTCATTCATGTCTTTGGAAAAGTCTATGAATCACACACACTGGCATGTTTCTGCCATCTTTTGAGACTCTCATCTATTCAAAGGGGGGGTTTAAAAAATACTCTTTGCTGTATTACCATCAACTGTTGAATGCATTTGATTGAAATTATTTCCTCTACAGCAGAGTTTCTCTTTAACTGACAATTCAGAGTTAAACTGTATTTTTCCACTAGTGATATGTATTCATGATGGTATTGGAATGGGGAAGAGTTAAACTTCAGAACACAAGAAAAATAATTAAATTTCTACTTGGTTTCTGGAGGAGGAAACATGGAGCTAAGTGTGGCTGAGAAACCACCCTGTCCCAGGAGCTTTGCTTCAGCTGCTTTCATTCACTTTAACACTGACGACGACCCTCTAAGACAGAGATTCGCAACCTTCCTAATGTCACAGCCCTTTAATACAGGTCTGGTGGGTCACAACCCACAGGTTGAGAACCGCTGCTCTAAGAGGAGGACAAGTTTACAAAGTTGTTTGTTTAGTTGGTCAAGTTTATTTTTCAAAAAACTATTACTAAGTATCTCTGTTTTATGGAGGCCCAAGTATTCTATCTGGGTGTTTGCCACCAGCATTAATTTTTGTGAAATAGGAATAACTATCTGGCATTGACTCCCCTCCAAACATATTCTGGACTCCAAGGTAGGTGCTATCTTTCTCCTTTTCAAAGGTGACAGCTGAGCTGGTTCCCCTTTAGAAAAGTCAGGATTAAAAGAATAAACTCTCAAGTGTCAATTATTTGTAAGCATCACTAGCACTTCAAAATTATCATTCTCCTTGAGAAAATAAATGTGGCAACTCAGTCTTTTCCAGTCTACTATGTATTGGATGCAATATTGTGATGTATGATAAAAAGCAAATACAGAAGGTGCGAAAAAACGTATACACATTTTAAGAAAGGAAACCATTATATCAAAATTGCAATACTCATTATATATGAGTAATAAAAAATGAATAAAAGTTATGTTGAACAACTGTTACAACTGCAGAAGTCAAACAGAACTTGAGAATTATAAATTTAATACAGTTTTTTTTTTCCTTCTTACAGTGTGTATACATTTTTTGGTACCCTCTACCAGGGTCCCACCCTGGGGGCAGGGTCCTTTAAGACCTGTGGAGCTGGTGATGATTGACTAAAGAAAAATAAAGTTAGAAGTGGTGAGAGATAGAGACAAGACATTCAGAGTAAGAATTTTCAAAGGTAGGAAACATAGGGGACTATGGCTAGTTTGTGGGGTTCCTGTAAATGGCCCCAAGTGTTTGTTCCACTTGGCTTTTATTGAAGGCAATTTGCTCATTTAGCTCAAAGAGTAAGCTGAGGAAAGGAACAAAGACATCAGCAGTTTCTCTGAGTAAGCATGTTAGTTCTTATCCTATCTATAATCATGAACTTTAAGGGTCTGAGCAACCTTGAAAAATCTGAAATCTGAGCCTTCTGTGGGAGCAGCCTCTTGTCTGTGGTTACACACACAGATTCCTTGGTGGTTAATTCTCACTAGTTCACTGTGGAGCAGACGCCCCAACAGCATCAGTCTTCTCTGAAGAATTGGTGGGAAAGTAGAATTTTCCTCTTATTTGCAACCCAGAGTCATCTTCCTCTATTATAAAGATATATAAACCCTCCTGCCCATATTTCAGGTCTTGAGCTATTCCCTTGATCTCTGCCCTGGCCATAACACAAATCCCCACAATGAGTATTTGCTTTGACTGTTGACTGGGTAGGGAACGGCCTAGTTAATGTTTCTTGCCAGGCCTTGCACACAGCTTCCACTGCAGCCTTTATTTCTTCAAAGTGTTTGCAGACCCAGGAGTGGTATTTGCGAGCTGTATCCCTTACAGGCTAGGCTTCTAGGAAAAGCAGGAATTGCTCAGATAAGGAATTTAGATGCTGGTTTAGAAGCAAACTAGTTAAACTGTTTTTATTTGGCCTTGCTCAGCTTATTTGTCTATTTTTCCCTTTTTCTGGGGGTGTCTTCCCATGCCCAGAATGGAGTCTTCAGTCCTCTGTCTGTCTGCACCCTCTGTACATGGTATTTTGCTCTTTGTCCCCAGTTCCTGAAGCAGAGCTTCTAATCCCTTGTAATTTCCTAGGTAACAGGAGCATATTTCCTTCTAATGAGGAGACTTTTGTTGGCTTCTGGATAGGTGCTGGTCACCAAAAGGACCAAACTATGGATAGAAGACTAAAACTTTCAGCTGCACCCTGTCTCCAGGAAGGGGAGAGAGGATGGAGCCTGAGTTAATAACCAATCATTCTAAGGTGATGGTGCTCCCATAAAAATTCCTGAACTACAAGGCTCAGAGACTTTCTGGTTTACTGAGCACATGGAGGTCCTGGGGGGGTGGCACCCCAACCCTTGGAAAGGGCATGGAAGCTCCACGCCTACTCCCACCCCTTACCTGGGCATCGCTTCCATCTGGCTATTCCTGAGTCATGTGCTTTTATAATAAATGGTTAAACAATAAATAAATGTAAGTAAAGGGTCTCCCTGAGCCCTATGTACTAGTCTAAAAAATAATCTGAGTCCCCCACTGGCGGCTCTGAAAAGCCATCTTTGCATTGCTCCTGGGTCCAGTTTCCTTCTGGTTGCAGCCACCTCCTCGTGCTCCTCCCTGGCCTCTGCAGACTCCAGCAGCTTTATCCCAGAGTCCCTGAAGTCTCGCCTTCTTTTCCATCCCTTGCATGGCATCACGGACATGCCCCACCATGTCAGACGCAGCGGTGGACACCAGCTCCAAGATCACCACCGGGGACTTAAAGGAGGAGAAGGAAGATGTGGACGAGGCAGAGAATGGAAGAGACACCCCTGCTGATGGGAACGCCAATGAGGAAAATGGGGAGCAGGAAGCTGACAATGAGGTAGAGGAAGGAGAGGACGAAGGTGGGGAGGAAGAGGAGGAAGGCGACAGTGGAGAAGAGGACAGAGATGAAGATGAGGAAGCTGAGGCCACCATGGGCAGACCAGCATCTGAAGATGAAGATGATGATGTTGATACCAAGAAGCAGAAGACTGATGAGGATGACCAGACAGCAAAAGAGGAAAAGGTAAGCTTAAAAAAGCAGAAAAGGACACCATGACCTATTTACCCTCCACTTGCTGTCTCAGAATCTAAACGCAGTCACCGTGGGGTAGAGAGGCCCGCCCAACCCCCACCCGCAGCCAGGGCCACCTGCAAGCAACATGCACTCTTCACCACCCAAGTAAAACCACGAGAATCGCCAAAAGAACCAAAACTTTCTGCTTTTTTTCTTAAAAGTACTTTAAAACAGAAGTTTAAAGTACTTTTTATTTTTTATTTGTTTTATATTTCTGTACATATTGTTAGGGGCCAGCCATTTTTAATGATCTCGGATGGCCAAACCAGCCTTCAGAGCCGTCTCTGTCCCCCTTTTGACTTTACTTGTGGTGTGGCCATGTTCATCATAATTTCAAAAGAGAAAAAAGACCTTGTTAAAAAAAAAAAAAAGCGAAAACAACAACAAAAACATCTTATTCTGAGCGTTCCAGTAACTTTTTTTATGTATGTACTGTGCTGTAAGTAGTTGGTTTGTATGAGATGGTGAAAAAGGTCGAAGATAAAAGGTTTCTTTTTTCCTGTTTTTGGTCTATGAAGTTCCTGTTGTTTGTTTTGTTTTGTTTTGGCCTGTTTGATGTATGTGTGAAACAATGTTGTTCAACAATGAACTGGAGTTTTATTTTGCTGAATTGTTCCAAACACACAAACAAAAAAAAACAAACTGAAAAGGGGATTACAGGAGCCTCTGACCCCCACAATTAGTCAGAAGCCCAGGTGACAAGCTGGACCTTGTAACTTGCACTTAAAGTGGGGTGCAGTCTGATGGGACTGACCCCCTCACCTGCGGGACCTGATGATGCCTCCAGCCAGGAGTGTCAGAATTCAGTTAAATCGCTGGAAACCCAGCTGGTTTGGAGGAAAGTCAGTGTGAGGAAAACCCACCCATTTGGGTGATCAGAGCTGTTGAGTGCGAGAGGAAAAAGCAGCTTGTTTTTGTCGGCTACACTGGTAAAAGAGCTAATCTGTTAGGAAAATGGCTATCTTCCTTTAATAATTAAAATAAGAATACTTTAGTGAAAAAAATACTATTCTTTCTAAGTATTAATATTCTTTGAAATACACTAAATACTAAATTTGGCATTTTTATAAGTGAAAATGGATGAATATTGGCGATTTCATGTGAGTTGATCCAATACATTGTTATATGAGTACGATGCCATTCGGAATGTTCACTGTCTCGACCGACGTCCCTGCATGTGGCAGGCACTGTCAGATAGAATGACAACATCTGAGACCCAGGGAGCAGGTTTCGGGGTGCAGCGCTATACTAAGAATGTAAGAATCCAAGGTCAGCCTCAGTTTATCTAGTTGGGGTCACTGGACTGATTAGACCTCACGTACCACTGTACTCCTCAAGGGCAAACTGCCTCCTTCCTTGGCTCTGGACAAACACGGCTGGCCTCTGTCCCCTTGACCCTGGCCAGCACCTCTCACTGCCTGATCCGCAGCCTCCCGAGACACTGGGTGGCTACACATCTTTCTCACAGGAGGTCCCCACTAAGGGCATCCTGTTGATGGCATTGTCACTACCAGTTGGATAGCTAAATGTTTAAAATAGATAGGAATAATTACAATTCTGAACTAGAATTTTCATTCTTATACCAGGCCTCTTTTGCATGCAGCAAGAGAAATATGTTTAACTTCTAAGTCACAAAATTCTACAAGATGAGTAAACAAGAAAAAAGGCATGAAAATGTTTAGTATAGAATAAAGCACTCTACAAATGCTAGTAGTCATTTCTTTTGTGTCTGAGACAACTGAACAGAATGATCTCAAGCCTTGCTTTCTAAATTGTATTCCACAGTCAAGGGTCAGAGGAAGAAATAGCATCTAAATTTCCATCAATGGGATGCAATGGGACACAGGAATGTATGTCATGGAATTACCATAGAGCCACAAGAAGGAGAAGGATTAGCTGAATCCTCTAGTATATAACAATCACCAAGGCATGCATACATGCATACACACACAGAAAATATGCCATATTAGATATATATATATTCCAAATATATATAGTCTTAGAGACATATACACACATAAAATATCTCTATTTTATATAAATATAAAATGTTATATATAAATATATTTTTATATAATTTTACATAAATACAAAATTTCATATTTTATATAAAAATACATTTTATGTGTGTGTATGTCTGTAAGACATAAGGTCTTAGAAGCTAAACATTTGAAATGGTTCCCTGTGGAGAGAGAAAGGGAGAGAGAAGTAGAGACGGGGATCATCTTGTGTTTAACAAATAATTTGCAGGAGGGGGAAAATTATGGATCAGAATTGACATGAGACTATCAACTCATGACGATGTTTGGACCTTATTAGACTTGCTTCGAGCTGAGTTTTTTTTTTTTTACAAAGTTTGAGATAATGAAGAATCCTCACACTGGACCTTTGCTGATAAGGAAATGCTGTTAATTTGGGGAGATAGGATTAACAGCCTTGGGTTATGCTCTTTAAAGCCCTTATCTTTCAGAAGCAGCACTGAAATCCTTACAGATGAAAAGGTATTCACTTCCAGACTAATGCAGTGGCTGGTTTAGATGAAACGAGATAACCTCATAATCGCCGAAGCTACACATTAGTGTTCATTAACATTGTTCTCTCTACTTCTGTGTATGTTTGAAACTTTCTATGATAAAATGTTACAAAAAACTCTTTTTAGAAAAATGCCTGGGTTTGCCACCTTCCTACTGGCAATGTCTGTATCTGTCTATTGAGCAATAAATTTGTTCGCTGGCCAAGCAGCTAATGAATCTACAACAGATTTTTAAATCTTTGCACATGAGAAACATGTTATTGATCCCTGGAGGAATAAATAGGGCATAGGTATTTAAACTCTGTAAGCCTCAGCCTCTATTTCTGAGAAATAAGGATAATATGGTTTAGTCCAGGGCAAACTCTCAAGAAGCTCTGACGTCTGCCACTCAACTGGGCAGGCCCTCATCAAAGGGTATTAGCTATCTTATAATGACTGGCCAACTTTCTTTGAAAGTATCAGAGGAATCTCAAACCCAGTATGTCTAAAATTGAATCCATCAAATTGACTGAATGAGTTAAAGAATGGATTAAAATGATCCATGTCATCATTCTAGTCTGTTGTCCAATACTCCCCTCTTCATTGCTGGGCTTTCTGTGACAGCTGTCAGGAATACTCCAACCCTCTGACTTCTATTGCTCAGAGTTGAGACTTTAAAAGCAAAGTCAACATGAGCTAAATTTTTCCAGTCTTTATCATCCTCATTGCAACTAGCAAACACAAGAATCTCTACAACTTCTGATACTGCTAATGGGAGCTTTGCAAAATGCATGCTTCTCACCATAACTGGCTTCTCTCTGAGAAGAGTTCTTTTCTTAGACCCTTTGTCTTGGGCAAGAAACAATCTTCCAAATTATATATAGAACCCTAGCAACAAAAAATTATGGACTTAGTGATGCCTTTAGTGTTATCTGATCAATCATACCCACAACCTATGCTTTTACCCTTAACTAGTTCATGCCATCATCATAAGATCCAAGTTAGATAGATGATGACCATTTCTGAGACTTTCCTTAGGGAAGGGTCAGCAGCTATATTATGACCAAAAACAGGGAGGAGGTGACATCCCAACAGACACATGGTTTCACATGGTTTCTACACACCATGTGAAATCTGGGCAATTTAGTGACAGCCTTGTAAGCACATTGTCTGAAATTGTGGTCTCCTGGTGGATTTTACATTAGTGGAAATTCCTCCATTGCTGTTCAGTAATGACACCTTTCCATGTCTCCAGGAATAAATGACATGCATGCACCTCACATGTACAGTTTTGAAAATCTGCTGCAGATCCATTAGCTCCTTGGCCAGTGAACATGTTTATTTCTAGAATGACAAATACAGACATTGTAATATTGCTGCACCATTAACTCACTGAGGAACATACAGGCCATGTCTTTGCATATTGCCCTTTTAGTCTCTGTCCATCTATGGTTTGGGCAGAAAACGGCCCATATCTTGTATCTACTCAGCACTTAGCTTCTCCTATGTGAAGTTTTTATGGTATAACATTAGAATAAGGGAAGCACCCTACCTGAAAGCTAGAAAGCACACTAGAAATCTAGTTCATCACTTCTGTTTTCATGTGAGAAAATGGAGCAGAGAGAGCTTGAGTGTCTAGTAAAGCTAGTCAGTAGTAAAATCAGGGAGAAACTTAAAACTGCAGATTCCTAGTTTATGGCCCTTTGCCCCACACAAGGTGAGTTTGATGCCCTTGGACTTCAACATACCAAAACCAAATCATTCCCTGATCTTTAGAAAGTAGATACTCTTTTTTACAGACTATTCAGGTGCCAGATAGTGATTTATGAGAGTACATTAAGCACACAGACAGCTTTCCAAAGCTCACACCAGAGCTCTGTTTATACCTACGGAAAAGCTCCCTGTGGGGACAGATGACCCGCCCCACCCCCATGGCCTGAGAATTCATTCTGTTCATGCTGAGCTTATTCAAAGAAAGTGTATGAAATCCTGAGGATAGCAAGCGAGAACGCCCTGAAAGAACCACACCAGAAGACTGTGCAGAAGCGCCAACCAGCACCTGCTCTGAAACTGCAAACATGAGAGAGCTTCATGTATGAAGATTCGTACTTCAAGGTGCATATGAGGTTCTCCTTCGGTGGTTAGTCCATCTATTCTCTTGATTAAAATCAGTCTCTCTGATATTATTTGGAACCAGTAAGAGTGATCAGTTGATGATCAGAAATCAATGAAATCTAAAATGAAACAGATCTTCCTCCCTGCCCACTCTTGGCAAAATCTACCCTTGGTTCTACTGTCAATGGCACATCCACCCATGACCACGCTTCAAGCTTGAGGTTGGTCTCCACCTCTCCTTCACCTCCCTCCCATCCAATCTGTCCCCATGCCATACCAATGGTCCCTAGGGAATGCCCCTTGATTGCTGTAGTAGAGATTT